TGATGAAACATCAGAGCACATACCTTGGGCCTGCCCCGCTGGAAGAATGAATCAGGTTTTTACCATCTGACCTGGAAGACCACTCACCATACAAACTAATCGGCTTCATTAGGAAGCCACAATAAACTCTTGCGGGTTGCGGTGGAGAGTCGAATAGACCCACTCATTTTGGACATAACCTAACCTAACCTAAGTCCGCTGCTAATTGCAAAAGCCTCAGCTTTGCGACCTTGTTTGTCGTTGATATTTGAAAACATGCTAAACAGCTGAAACTGTGAACATATGTTCGAGACGAGTGTACCAATATGAAAGAATGAAAATATCGTTCATCGAATGTACGTTGTCCGCGAAATTTGATCATTCACCTCATTTTTTCAACAAATCACGTATAACGGCCAACACATTATCAATGTGTTTGAATCGTCCGATCATAAATGAAAATCTATGATAACATATTTAAATAACACTTTACTGTGAGATTTTCACTCAGCAGTTTACAAAACCGCGATACGTGTTTCACTATACAATAGCTTTTGCAGACTTATTAATTATTGAACGTAATGTGGTAATCCACTAGCATTTACTGTTTAATTCATTTCAATCGGTTTCGCGTTAAAATTCTTCGTTAGTTTTTAAGAAGTTCAAATTGTATGCCTTCAACTAGATTAATTCTCGAAAGAAAAATTATTGCTCGTAGGCGGATTCGCAGTTGGGACCTTTCTGTTGAGAATCGGACGCATTACCACCGCACCAATTCACGTGTTTTATTAAAATGACTCGTAAAAACACACACAAAGAAGATGCTCAGAAACCCTGGTGTTTTCACTGATTCTCTTTTGTTTTGTCGACACGATTGGAAAGATTACCGCAACTTTGCGCACATGTTGATAGATGGTGTAAGAATCGAATTCTGTGACATAGGGACAAAAAAGAAAAAAGTATCGCATAGAAAGCAATATCAAAGCGATGTTTGAATCGTTTTGATTCTATCCAGTAGCTTATCCCTTTACCTACTACGTTCAACGGTAAAGCAGCTTCAACCACTGGGAGCAATTTGTTTTTTGTTTTGACATTTCAAATCAGTGACATATCACAAGTGCAATTTTGAATTATTCATAGTTTGAGTGTATTTCTTACAATTTAATCATTTCTCACAATTTTATAATAGTTCCACATTTATTTTATTGTTTTTATCAACCTTCTTTGGGTAGTTTCACCTTCCGCAATCACTTTGCTCATCCCATATAAATCATGGCCCTATACTAAATGAAACTTTTCCTCAGAAATCATTCAGTATAATTTAAAAAATTGTCGGTATTGATTGTAACTGAAAAAACATTGTTCAAATTTCTGAGGACTTCAGCGACGTTCTATTTAAATCTCAGATTCGTAACAATATTTTCTCGTAGAAGAGATCCAACCTTTGAGAGCCACCCAGTTTCACCTCTTACAGATGAAAGTCATAATTTCCGACATAATATTAAATATGTTTAAGTACCTTAGGAACGTTTCAATAATTTAGTAGATGGGTTGCTAAGTTTCATGTCTGAAGGGATTGCGAATAGCCATTATGCTCCATAGACTACCTGGGGAGTTTTCAACATAACCTACCTAATGAACATAGTAGTCAATGTGTAGGTATAGGGTGTTTCATTGAGCGCTTCCTATTTTTAAATTTAAATAAAACAAAGTATGTGTGAGACATCATCGAAATTTTTCATTCGAATGAAATACCTATTGACGCCATTAATTGTGGAATACAGTGTGTCAATTTTAAAACTTACAATGGGCTATATCTCACGAACGAAAGCTGATATCGAAAAATGCTTGAAACCGTTTCTAGGATAGTAAGGGGGAACTAAAGTGACATGAAAGAGAACTCACCCCCATCAACCCCCTAGGCCTCACCCACCAAAACTCAAAAAGTTTAAATTGCAATGCCTTACTTGTGATAAATCATTGAAAATACTATAAAAAATGTTATCCAATGCTATAAATAATAATTGTACAGGGTGAAGTAATAATTACTTTGGGTTGAAGAGAATATTCAATGGGATTTTTGTTGAACTACAAATTTATTAAAAATGTCAATTAAGTAAATGTTCAAAGTGGGTTCCGTTGTTTTGTAAACAATAATACAGCCTATCGTCAGTCTGCACAAACTTTAATATCAGCCGGCTTACTATGCCTTTTTTATTTGTAATGTTACCTCCAGGACTAGATAAGTGTCCGTCGATACTTTCTTTGTTAAATAAAAACTCAATTTGCCGTTTTTGCAAAACAATTTGGAAAGATCTGTTTTTTGGGTTCTGTCAGAGTCAATAATTTTTGGTTTGTTTGAGACTTTCAAATGTCATTAGTTTTCATCATTTGTATGATCTGTACTGTCATTCAGCTGTAGTTGTCACGATGGTTTACAGTATACCTGATCGCGTGGAGATAATTTTCATATTTGCCTTCCAGAACTAGTGTTGTTTAAAAACAGTTCAAATATTTCATGAAAGGCATCCGGACAAAAATGTAAGTCACGTGCACGTCCGCGATTTAGTTGAAAAGTTTAGAGATACGGGATCAGTGCAAAATAAAAAAGGAATGCCCCAAGATTACTGAATGAAGTAACCCAAATTGAGGTCCTTGGAAATTTTGCAATAGAGCCTACTGCATCAAAACGTTAAGTATCTCCAGTGACAGGACTTTCGCATGAGTCGGTTAGAAAGGTGTTGAAAAGCTAAGTTGCTTTGGTCGTCCCCTTGGTTCTCTAATTCATGCACAATTGAAGGTTCGATGGTGTTTTCCAGCATATCGAGATTAATGTCGGTACTTGAATTGCCTGGTATGAACAAGGGATCAATTAAAGCATCGCCTAATATTCCTGCCCAAACATTAAGTTTTTCAGGATATTGAGTGTGACCTTCTCTGAATCGATGGGGGTTTGCATCACTCCAGTATCGACAGTTTTGTTCATTTACATTACCATTCAGCATAAAAGTACATTCATCACTGAAAAAATATTTATTAACATTCTCGGTTCAACGCGAATTCTTTCAGTCATGAGTTCACAAAACTCAATTCGTCGGTCTGGATCATGATCGCCTAGTTCTTGAAGAATTTGTGTTTTGTACGGGTGAAACTTCAACACACGCCATACAAAACAAACATAATTTCCCCCCACCAGAGAACATAAAACTCATAAAACAAGTCAACCGCATGGACGTTTGGGAAAACTTGAACATCCATAAATTTAACAGTCATAAATCACTTATCGAGGAACAAGTACAAATCAAAACACAACAAGACCTCAACATTCAAAACCATACACATTCCAAGAGAAGATCTTCACAAAGAAGAGTACCTGCAGTTTGAGGAGTGCCTAGAAGATGACAGTACGACTTATATATATATATATA